GTCACAGCAACCTCCAACTCCAGGGCTTAGGTGATCCTCTTGCCTCAGCCTCCCAAATAGCTGGAACTATAGGCGCCCGCCACAATGCCTGGCTATTTTGTTGTTGTTGTTCTTGCAGTTTGGCTGGGGCAGGGTTTGAACCCCCCCACCCTCAGTATATGGGGCCAGCGCCCTACTCACACAGCCACAGGCGCCGACCCGAGCATGCTATATTCTTAAAGCAGTGCGCTGAGAATAAAATTCTCCTCAAGTGTTCTGATCAGCACACAAAGCACAATACCTTGATCTACCATTGATTTGGGAAGTGAGTTTTCACATTATACAACTGGAATGCCTAAGTCTCTTTGAGAGCTGCTGCTAAATTATGTTTCTTCCACACTGTACTTGGACCCAAATAGAATTTATCTACTCTTGTTAAATTTAATTATTCAGTCCTGTCATCCCAGTTTGTCAAGTCTACTTGGAATCATTATTAGCTAGTTCATAGGGTTTCATATCTCCACATTTGTTCAAGCCTCTTATTTCCTAATGCAAGTAAGTGATAGAATCAGGGTTGAAGATACAGCACGGAGAGGTACTACTTTCCATTTTAATTCAATCCACCAAAATGTACTGTCAACTCACACTTAAGGGCTTTCTTCCCAAGGGGAATGTAAGCCTGCCTGGCATCTTGAACTGTAGAAACACCGTGGCTGCGGCAAACAATTTACGCCAAGGTCGGGACTGCACTTTCGTAGTATTGGCACTAGGTGGGTTCAAATCCCAGATCCACTATCTCTCGGCGACCTCGAGGTCTTTGGATCATGGGAGGATTAAGTGTGGTGATCATTATTTACAATTTACTCAGCGTAGTATCATACCTCGCCCCTACACTGTTGGGAAGCCAAGGAACCCATCTCGCTCTTGGTACCACAGCGCCCCCACGGGAGATTCAGGTCCAGGGCACCCCACCCCCAGCCGTCCCGCACCTGCAAACACTTGTACAGCACAAAAGCCACGACGGCCGCGGTGTACAGAGCCCCCAAAGGCAGCGCCCCAGCCCGGGCCCGCTCGCGCTGGTCCTTGGGCGGCGGCCGCCTCCGGGGTTCTGTAGCCTCAGAGTGGACCTGGGCTGGGTCCCCTGTAGAAGGAAGGCAGAGGTCAGCTGATCTGGGACCTGTGGGCACTCCTAGCCTCCCTCCAGCAGCCCTCGCTGGTACCTGGGTGTGCGCGGATGTCGGGGCTGGCGCGGGCTCCGAGGACCCCGGGCAGCGTAGACACGAGTAGCAGCCCCAACAAGCCTGAGAGCGAGACTGCGCCAGCCATTGCCTGCCCACAGTCTGAGGGCCCCTGCTAAGCCAAGGCACTCCGGCGTTAGCGGTCTGCCCCAGTGCGCACGCGTACACACCCAACCGAGCGGGATCGGCGCACAGCTTCCCAGGGTAGCCACGCCTACACAGTGTGGGGCGGGACCAGAGAGTATTTGCATAAACCTTGTCATTCTCGTTTCCTAAATTTGTTCATTTCTTATGTTTTAGGCTTTCTAATAGCCACAATATCTCTAGAAGACTATAATTTTAGAAAATTATGCCATAATATGATCTATTTTTATATTCCACGCCCTCCAATTTTCTCACCGTAACCGACCGAGAAAATTCCTGTTAGGCCTATAAAAACAAAGAGAGCCCAAAAGAGTCAAGTAGATCGTGCTGAAGGCCTGTTTCCTAGGCTACATACGGAGGACTAGTTCCTTGTTCTTTCCGCCTAGGGGAAAGTCCCCGGACCTTGGGGCAGAAAGTGCCGCGTGCATGCGCACGTAGACATTCCTCCGTTTCTCTCTCTTTAAAACCCGCCAAGAAGCGGATTTCGCTGAGCGGTGTGAAGCGGAGGCGTCGTCCGTCAAATGCTCTAGTTACGCAGGCAGTGCGTGTCTCAGCGCGCCAACCACACGGGGCTCATTCTCAGCGCGGTACGTTTTTACTCCTGGTCTTGAGCTTCTTCTCCTTCAAATAGGGACCCCTTTCTAATGCCTTTAATATACTCCGGGACCCTAGTATTTTGAGCCCCTTATTTATTTATTTATTTTTTTTTGAGACGGAGCCTCAAGCTATCCCCCTGGGTAGAGTGCCATGGCATCACGCTCACAGCAACCTCCAACTCCTGGGCTCAAGCGAGTCTCCACTGCCTTAGCCTCCCAAGTAGCTGGGACTACAGGTGCCCGCACAACGCCTGGCCATTTTTTGGTTGCAGCCATCATTGTTGTTTGGCGGGCCTGGGCTGGGGATTCGAACCCGCCACCTTAGGTGTATGTGGCTGGCGCCGAGCCCCTTATTTTTATAACAATCTCCTCTTCCACCATCCTCTTAATCTGGCAAATACCTTTAATAACCGCCATTTATTGTGTATAAAATATTATGGACTCTGCCTGGGCTGGTAATCCTGCCTCCTGTACTCAAGAGCAGGTGAATTTTGGAAAGTTAATTATTTTCTCTGTGCCTTAGTTTCCACTCTGAAGAATGGAGACATAATGATAAATATGCATGGACCTCAAGAGGCATTATGGTGCTTAAATCAGATAATAAAAGCAAAATGCTCAGAATCGTGCCTATCCATTAGTGATTTTAATCACTACCCAGCAGCTACTGTGAGGCAGGCAGATGAAATTATATTGACTCCGCCACTATTCCCTCTCTGCACAGTTGACTTGTACACAACCTTCAGCTCTTAGCTCGTGGGTTCCCTTCATTCAGAGCCCTTAATCCAATTTCTAATTCATTCGCTAGTACAGCTGTTTTACTTTATTCAGCACAACTAGACTGTACCACCGTGGCCACGTCTCTCTCTCTTTTTTCCTCATGATTTTACTCCCAGAGCTTAGCACAGCACCTGGAGGTAGCAGGCACTAGGTGAATCCTTGTGGAATGAAATTGATGAATGTTCAAAGAGACCTAATATAATTGAGCTCTTTCAAAGAAATGAGGAAACTGCCATTCAGGAAGGTTAAGGTTAACCCATTAATCAGGTAAGACGCAGGCAACAGATTCCAGTCTTTTTCTGCCTCTTGCTATACCGTCTACTTCACCAGCCTTTCCACCTCCTGGCCTTCCACGACTTCTCCAGGCCGACAGGCATTCCTCCCTCTCTTCCACATTGTCTTTGCCTGGGATGCACAAGATCATCTTCCCAAGGAGACCAAGAACTCTCCGAGGAAAGAAACCATGTTGCGTCCACATTTCTATGTGCAGAACAAGCAATGGGTACATGTGTTAAGTAAACGAATGAACTATGGGTGCACTCAGGGGAGTTGTCACAGACTAGTTTTTTTTTTTTTTTTTTTTGAGACAGAGCCTCAAGCTGTCCCCCTGGGTAGAGTGCTGTGGCATTACAGCTCA